TACCGAATGCGATCTAGAGTTGAGCTGAGTACTTCCAAAATTATCATCGAACCATACTTGAGAAGATGAACACACCTTCAACTGATACCTATGCCGTTTAGGTATTGACATATCATTACGGTTGATCGGCTCACTTAAGTTATTCCATAACTTCTAAAGGTAGTCTAACACCTATGCTTATTTGGATTCCTTAATTAATCCAAGACATTTACTTAGTATAGGCCATAAGGGTGTTTTGGTCATTTTGGTGTTCAGTTTTATTCCAATCATTACAGAGCTCGAGGATATCCCATCATTCATGAGCTTGGTGGTATCATTGGGCCATTTCTATTACAGGGGTATTTTGGTCATTTTACAGATTTAGTGTATTTTAATCCTTTTTTCCGTTCGATCTTACTATTAAATTCAATCTTATCATTTATTTCAGTCCTTTCGAACAATTCTGACAGCAGAATACCCCCGATAAATTATTCTTCAGGTATTTACTCATTACTCGAATATTTTCGGGTCAAGTGTCTTCTCAGATTTTACAAACGGGATATAATTTTTATGTACAAAGACAAGATCTTAACAATCAACTCCGTACTTAATCGAATTAAGTACGAATCCTCAACGTACTTTCTTATTCAGGGTCAACTCGACTATTTTACCTCTCAAGGGTATTTTCATAATTTCTTAACCAGATAATTTTGATATTAGCTCTTAACGAAAATAATTATAATTTAAAGATCCTATGGTCAATTGTTTTTCCCAAACATTCTCTGATCTTGAAATTATTCATTAATAGAATTTTAATATCTTGCACAAACCCTCTACGGGTTAAAAACCGGTTATCCGTATTTCGTAAGAAAAATCTAGCATTTCTTAATCACATATGTAGTTTTATCATATCAATATATCCTTTCAGAGTTATTAATCAACATCCAGGGACAATTCTTGACATCTTACAACTTAAGGGTATTTTCGTAATTTTACCCTACCGGAGTATTATCATAATTTCCCATCCAAGTACCTTTAATATTTAACCTTTGATGAAATAAACTATAAGTTACAAATCCATGTTGATTTCTTTATCACTAAGCACAGAACTTGTAATTTAATTATAACAATCCCTCAATTTCTTATAAAAATCATCTGAACCATAATCAATTACTGAACCCTTTTACCGTATTCAGATCGAGTGTAGAAACTAATTAACTACACAAATGAGACCAACATTATCTTAATCATGCATTTACAAATATTCACATGTTCCATAAAGCATAAAGAGGTAGTAAAGTATTATCTCGATTTTCGTGCAATACTGATCGACCATAAAAATTCCATTCGAACGCCTTTGATCTTCAATTCAACTTCCAATAATTCCTCATATATATATCAACATAAATTATATAAAAAACGGAGCTTAATTACGATAAACGAATCGAATCGGGTGATAAATCAGTGAATAATAGCTTATCGGGTTTGAATTTGGCGAAACGGACTTCGGATTCGGATTCAGGACGTCGAAAGCATAAAATATGACTTTTTGGAAATTCAAAATTTCGATCAAAATCAAAGTCAACGGACTGCGGAATCGGATTTAGAACGTCGCAAAATGTCAGGATATGTATACTCGGTCAAAGTCAAAGGTCGTTTAATGCCCGGTCAAAGCCAGTCAAAGTTTTGGTCAACAGTGGTCAACGCCGGTCAACGGTTAACGGTGAACTGTCAACGGGTCGGGTAAATGGGTCGGTCCAACGGGTCGGGTTATGACCGGTCAAACCGGTCAAAATAAGAGCAAAACCGGTCAAACCGGTCATTTTTTCTTCCCCACGCGCAGTGCTAAATTCCCGAAAAAATTTCTAAAAATTATTTTGAGCGATTTCGAGATACTTACAAAGCTCGGTTCACAATTTTGAACGGCGGAGAGCTTGATTTCAACAAATCGGAAACTTTGACCGCTTCACCTCCTCACGCGCCGCCGTCGACGGAGACCAAGGATGACACCGGCAGACTCGGAACGATGCAAGGAACACGATGGTGCGGGAGGTGTCGTAAACGGATCATCAGATCGTCGTGAATCGACGAAAAACCAATTGAAATCGAGTTATTATCGATGATACTTCCGACTGAAATTAACGACAAACGGTGACGATTCACGACGAAAGGTTTGAGGGGTTTTGTTCCTCGCTCGACAACGAACAAGATGGTGGTTTCGGTTTGTCGATCGGAGGTCGGACGGCGAGTAGATCGGAGTTGAAAGTTGTTGATCGGGAGAGGAAATATGAACATTTTCTGCAGAAAATGCACGGGAAATGGGGTTATATTAACTCCTAAAGAAAAATGGTCAAATCATGAGTTTAGCCACTGAATTTCCTACACTTCTTAAAACGGTCTGTCAATTTTACAGCCTTACAATTTAATCCACTGTTTATTTCAAAATACCAATTAAATTCACCATTTTATAATTTCTTAAAATTTAGCCCCTAAATTGGGGTGTTACAGCTTACGTGCAACGCCTTAGTATATGGCTAAAATAAGGTGTTATTGGTTCTGTTTTTTTTATTATTTTAAATAACAAAACCGGTAAAAATGACCGAAAACATCATTATTTTGATCGGTTCTAATTATCTATATATACTAAGACACCGCACCACAGAACTGCCCTTAGATTGTTTATAGTTTTATAAGTTAAAATTTTTGTGTTATCCCAACATTTTTTATGAATTGATGATATGACTTAACAAAAATGCTGACCATAAGGTTCGAACTCGCACGCACCTACGTGCAATAGATCTTACCTGTCAAGCAACTAATGATAGCTCTGGAAACCGAAATCTAATTGATGGTACTCTTTTTTTCCGACTTTCCCCCTTTTACTTGCTTGATTATGGGATTTCACTTTTCTTTGTCTTAATTTCTTCCTTGATTAGTCGATGAATCAAAATCTATCCCTTTCTTTTGTTCTTCATTTTTCTTTTCTTTTTTTGCTTTTTTTTATCGTTGTTAATAGCTACGGTATTATGTTTGGTTCAAGGTTTGGGTTGGATCTTAGTTTAGACAATATGCACTAATTCAAGGGTATTGAGTTTTATGATGGTTAATGGTGGCAGTATAATATTGGAGGTTGTGTCCGATTTGATAATGAGGATTTGTTGAGGGATTGAAATAATTTACAGGTGTGTGAAGGATTTCATGGTGGTGAATTGGAGGTAACCGAGAGGGTGAAAAGAATAAAATAGTGAGTGGTGGTGGTGAAGTTTACTCGAGTCGTTATTGATTTAGGGATATAGGCCGTTGGTTGATAGACTTGCTTTGACATTGCTTTGGGTTCAAACAAAAATAGTTCATTTGGATCTACATGCGACGAAATAGATAAAGATGACCAGGACAGAGGGTGGTTGATGGAATGTCTAATTTAACGAGAAAACATTAAAAATTATATAAATAAAATATTAGTAAAAAAATTATGTGGCAATTGAAAACTAATATAAAAATGACATGTGATCAAAATGTTAGAAAAATTACAGGAGTGATAAAAAAAATTAATTTTCAAAGTTCATTGAGTAAATTAAAAATGTTTAAACTTAAATGACCAAAAATAAGAAAGAGAATAAATTTCAACGATGATTTATGCAGTTTACCATTTAAAATAATTATTCACATTTTTTTTGTCTAATGTTCTTAATAGTCATTAAAACACATAAGCACCAGCAGATTAGTGGTAGATTAGAACTCAACCACGGTATCGACTTGGTTTGATTCTCGGCTGGTGCATCTTTGCCTTTGGAACTATAAGGTAATTTTAAGTATTGATTTTTGTAAAGGTATTATATATATATTATTTTTAAAAATAATATATTTAACTTTAAAAATTATGCTTTTAGATTAAATTTAGACTGTTTAAATTTATCAGGCAATATATAACGACTGTTTAATTCAATGAGAAAACATTAAAAATTATGCTTTAAAAATTATTTTATTATTGTTACCATTTTCTCGATTACTCTTTTATTAGATGCCGTCGCCCGTCGTTATATATAAATGCTTGTTACGTCTAATGAATTTAATTAATTTATGCATCAAGATCAAATTTTCTTATCAATGAAAACAAAAGCACGAGTGATCTAGTGGTAGAATAGTATCCTGCCACGGTACAGACCTGGGTTCGATTCCCGGCTGGTGCATATGTGGAGCTGTGATGATAAATGATTTGAAGGTAGGGTCCTTCTAGTGCTCTGATTACCTGATGAGCAATAAGCGTTTCTGAGCTTCCATTTTCCTTTTTGTGTTTTTGTTGATTTTTTTGATATCATTGTTTCTTTTGATGTGTGGTTTTATTCAGCTTCATTTGCTTGTAACAGGTTATGGCAGATCTAATCTCTGGTGATGAGTTACAGGTCTGAAAACATATCACGTTCATCTCCATAAAATGTTGCCGTTCACCATTCATGTATGTGCCGCAGGCGACTTCGCACATGCAGTTCGGCATGGATGGCAGATCTTATAGCTTTCGAGGATTGATGATATACACAAAACCAAGTCGAAAATGAAACAAACCTGCCATCTTTCATGATGCATTTACTCAAACATGCTTCAAAACCTGCAACGAAATGTTTCATGATCACACTTGAAATCCGTGTTTCTACTACTTAAAAAGAGCAAAACACATTTTATTAAAACCTTGGTATTGTACCCTTTCTTTTCCATGAAATAAAGGAGCTTAAAACAATCGTATGTATCCTTAATCTATAAAAATGAGGGTAGGAGACCCTTCAGAATATGGTTACTGAAGCAATTATACGAGAAATTAATTACATTTCATACTCAACTACTTGGGCTAATTGAACCAAACCTCAATTACAAAGGTTGGGTGAATAAGAAATGAAAAGGGAGACCAATATTATTTATAAGAATCATGTACCTTCAAATTGTGTTTGTATTAATCTTGCTTTTCTTCTACCCTTAGTTTTAAAAGGCACTAAACCGCAGCATCAATCACTAATGGTCGATACAAGTTGACGGTTCGCACTTCAGCATCAGAACTCGATTGCAACTTACTTTTCGCTCCGGAGCCCATCTTCTTAACAGATTTATAAATTTTGGCACCTAATAAGTGATTATGCTCATGCATAACCTCAAGCACCCGCCATCTTCTTAACAGAATGTTGGTCATTTAAAACGGGCTCAAAGGCCAAAGGAAAAGCTGTGAAGCATTAAAGTCATAGGTTACACCAAAAGGTGCCTGGGAAGCCAAGAAAGTAGATAGTTCTAATGGCTCTCTTATAAACTAAAAGCTTCTACCTCGTGAACTCTATTCAAAGACTCTTCAAAAGCTTGTAATGCAACTTTGTAATGGTGTAAAGAAATCGTCCCTTCCTCCACGACTTGCAAGGCACTTCTATACTACTGATTAAACCATTGCAGGTGATCAACGGCATCAACAGTATTGGAACCTTGATCCGGAACATAGAAGCGCTTGTAATCCTTTTTCCATTGCAAGAGAACGTACTTGGAAGGGACTTCCTCTGCACCATTGAAGTTAAGCACGCAGAATGCATGCCGGCATAGATATGCGTAGAAATTAAAGCAACTGCAGATACATCTTTCACTGGCTGTTCTGTTATAAAGTACTTCTTACTCTCTAAATTTCCTTCAGCCTAGACTCGCTCCTTGACCAAGAAGATGATTATAGACTCACGAGCTAAAAATTATCAAGTTCAGCTCGAACTCGAAATATAATATTAAAACTCAACTCGAACTCGAAAAGGCTCGAAATAAAAAAAATTCAAGAGCTCGATTAAAACTCGAGACTCAAGCTCGATTTTGAGCTCGATTCAAGCTCGACCTTTGAGGACAAGCTTAGGAGTAACTTAGCTGCACATCTATGGATCGAATTGGGTTTTCAATCAATCCAATCTAACCCAAAAATTATAACCCTCCACTTGACTTGACTTGACTCGACTCAAAAATATACATTTTCCACTTGATCCGAATCTGATCCGATTTTTTGAGACTAAATCCGAACCCAACCTGACCAAAAATAATATATTTATTTAAAAATATTATTTTTTATTCAATAAAAATAGGGATTTAATTGAAAAAATAATATATAGATAGGATATTATTACAATTATCCCTAAATATATGAGGTAAAATTATATTTCGGCTTGGGTCGGCTTGGGTGTTTTTCACCCTAAACCCGAACCCAACTCGAACATAACCTCTAAAAAATCTGACCGACCTAACCCGATCCTGACATTTAAAAAAAATCGACCCGATTAAGTTGAATCGGGCCACAACCCATTAGTCCAGTAATAAACCATTTGACCTCAATCTCCCTACTGAGATGGTCAAGTGTGGGGAAGTTTTCAAAAGGTTTTACGAAACGAAAACAAAACACAAAAAGTTTACATGGATATACTCACCGGGAACTTGCCATGTCGGTGGTAAGTTCGATCGGAAAACTATTAAACTGGTTGTTTCAACTTACCCAAAGGCCAGGTCATTTCTAAAATGAGGCATTTTTTTATTTTGCTAAAGTCTATCCAACAAACTTTCAGGCTTAAACAAGTAACTCAACTCCATCTCTAAGACAAGTTTCAAGCTACACATTCCATAGCTAAAAACAGAAACTACATCCAAAACCTGTATACTCATTATGAGTGAGATACAAACATGGAGTTTCGGCTGCAATACAACATGTTAAGCCTTTTTTAACCATGAAGAGTCGGTCTGGAAGACTTTGAAAATCACACAAGAAAAGGAAAAGTTTCGGCTGCAATACAACATGCTAAGCCTTTTTTAACCATGAAGAGTCGGTCTGGAAGAGTTTGAAAATCACACAAGAAAAGGAAAAAGAGAAAGGATAACCCAGATGGAGCCCTCCTGTGCTGGTAGTTGGCTGTTTTCTTATTCATGTGACGAGTCAACAGATTTCAGTACAGCCTCACCCCCATCTCCTTGCAGCCGACTAGTTTCTGATCAAGGAATCAAGTAATAGCAAACAGCATTTAGAACTGTACAATGACATTTAGGTGGAACATCTAATGTAAAAGAGAGAGAAAATGAAAAAAAGAAGATAAAAATAAAAATAATTTATGTGGTAAGAAAGAGAGAGAGAAACGGTGCATAAAAATAGTAAGCCAAATCATGTTATCATTAAAGTTCTTTCACTTCCACAAATATTCTCTAGAGAATTGAGATAACTGAATTCTTTTGATCAAAATATATATATATTTTTTTCCATTTTAAAAAAACAATTAGAAAAAAGACAGCAAGAGAAGAAAGGGGTGTTTTGGGATAAGGAGCTTATACATTTCCTGTGGAATATATATCGTCCGTTCAGAAACCCTTATTAAGAGTATCCAGAACAGCATTCTCAATTCGCTTTGCAGCATTCGCTTCCCCTAGGCCATACTTCAAAAGCATTGCAGCACTCAGAATTGTTGCAAGCGGATTTGCCTTGTCCTTCCATACGGACAATAACATATCTTACATTATCATCGAGGTTCACCATCTTGGGTTTGATGGAAAATGATAATTAAGCTTTAGCTCTAAAAACCAAAAAGAATAAATCCAACCTATCCAGCGATATCAGGGGGAGAACCATGAATAGGCTCAAAGATTCCAGGTCCCTGTGCAAATGGTAATGCCAGTATAGTCAAAGAGAAAGAATATACAAACACCAATATTCTCAAACCAAACTGCAAATAGATTAATGATTCACCCAGACTCGCAGATGGAAGCATCCCTATGCTTCCAGTGATCATTGAAGCTTCATCAGACAAAATATCACCAAATATGTTGTTGGTCACAATTGTATCAAACTGCACTATTCCATTTTCACATATTGTAAACTCTTCCAGTAAAAAGAATGGCGCTCATTTATTGGGCCTAGGAAAAGTGTGAAGGAAGATCATGTCTTTCTCTTTTCAAAACAAACCTGCTTTGGGTAGCGAACAAGCTGCATTGTTGCATTGTCAACATACATGTGTGACAGCTCAACATCAGGATAATCAGCAGCAGTTGCCGTAACTCTTTTCCTCCAAAGCATTGATGCCTAGAAAATGAAACATAAAAGTTCCAAGTTTATTACATGAGAAAAGTCTAATGCAACTATAATCAATAATTCCAGACCTTGAAATTTAGGAAGCAATACGAAACGACAAAACGAAAACAACACATTTAATAAACACCAACACAATTTGACAAACTTGACAAGACAGGTTTAAATCCGATTAACATGATTCATGCAATACACGTTTTGTATTCACGTTTAAGATTTAGAAATATAATCCATGTTATGTTTATGTTGACATTGGAAAAAAACATGAAACACTACTCACAACAGATTGTCGGGTTTAATACTTGACAGATAAACCTATAATCTGCACACCGTTTTAGATCATAAAGCCAGAATCATATACCTCATCCCTGCATAAGCCAGATTTCAAATTACAACAAGTTTATAATATCTTAGAAGTTCTCACATTGCTCTCAAGATAGAGCCCCCTCAATTGTATGTAAGGAGTTGTTTAATGGGTTTTGTAACAAATGCAGAACCATCTACTCCGTGTGATTCAAGCATAACACATCGATTAGGCACTCCTTTCCCCTTCCATTGTCTTGATTGAGCTTTGTCTCAATCGAGTTACAAGAACCTTTTTAACAAGGCCTCATTTGCCTTTAAAAAAAGGCATAACACATCGATGACCCTATTTCAATTGATTAGAAATAAGAGAATAGTTCAATCTTTTCTTTCTTTTCTTCCAATTTTTCATTGTTATATGCTTAGTTTTAAAAGGTGCAAGGCGCACCGAGGCACAAAAAGCCCCAAGAGCATAGGTACAGGGCGCGGGCGCGCCTTTCGTAGGCGGGCACATTTTTATACTAAAAACCCATAAATTAATTATATAACGTATTTTTAATAATATAAATAAAATTTAATAAATATAGATAAAATTTTAATAACATAAATTAAAATAAATCATTTTAAAAGAATGAAAGATTGAGAAAATAATTTGATATCATGTATTAAATTTTTTTTTTGAAAAGGAAAAAGTGAGTCTAGTATTTATTGAACTTTAAAAAGAAAACAATTACATGTTGTCCATGTGCGGTGCACTAACGGACAGCAATCAAAGTTTCAACAAAAAGTTTAGGAACCAAAGCTTCAATAAAAAGTTTAGGGAACCAAAGCAAAAATAAATAAATAACCCCAAAACAACCCAATAAATAAGCAAATCCAAAGCTAGAGAATAGCTAACCTTTCTTCTTCCATGCTAAAAAACTAAGGGGCTGTTTGTTTGCCTCTTAATGGAACCATTCAGCGCTGAATGCTGAACCGTTCAGCATTCAACGCGTTTGTTTCGCACCTCTGAATGATTCAGTGCTGACTGATTCAGCAAAACAATGCTTAATGATTAAGCACAAAAGTACATTTTGAATGATTCAGAGCCATTATCAAACAACACGTCACATTCAGAGCTAATTCATTCAGAGCCTCTGAATCATTCAGCATTTGAATCATTCAGTGCTTAATCATTTTGAAGTAAACAAACAACCCCTAAAGCTTTTTATCAGAGAATACCATTTTGAACAGAAATGAAAAAGCAGAGAAGAGATAGAGAAGAGAGACGTCGTAAATTTTCTATTAATTTCTCTCCCCCTACATAGGCACAAGAAGCGTAGCACCTACGTTTGCATAAAAAAGCGAAAAAAGCGTGCGCCTGCCGTTATGCGCTGCGCCTGTACCGTCGAAGGTGATTTTTCTGATGCCCAGCTGTGTCCGGCGCCTTAGGCGCGCTTTTGAAAACTAAGGTTATATGACAATATCATTACAACAAATTGTTGGAAATCGAGGCAAGAATAATGCAACGAAAATTTTAAATAATCTTGATCAATCCTAGGATCTTATGGATAGCATACTAATTACGGTAAAATAAAGTCGTGAGATTACAAAAATCTATGGTTTGAAAATCCTTTCGTGTTGTCTATGATTTCTTTCGATCTTTAAAGACGTTGCCTTTCTGAAAGACGACCACCCTCTATACGTACACGTGAATAAATCAAAAATGATTTTCATTCTTATCCATTCTTAGTGTGCGACCTTATAGATTCAATTAACGTTAGCAGTAGATAAAATCTCATTTTATCATACAAGTCATAAGTAGCCTCTAGCAAGACATTATGACTACCTAAGTTAAAAGAAAAGCTCATGATCTGAGACAACCTTAATGTGGTTTATGTCATAATCCTTTTATCTTACGATATGTTGATAGAATATAAGGCATGAAAAATATCAACTTTATATCACTCTAACTTTAGTTTCTCGATACTTAATTAAATTGACTAAACAAATAAAATTAATCTCTATTAACTCATTTGAATACGACCGTGCATTTCTCGATCTAAATCATTGATGGGCCCTAAGATATCTCTCTTATGATAAGAGGGATAAATTCATCTTAATCACTGACATCTCACTACATGATTCATGTCATGTTCAGGCATAACCTTTATAATTGTACGATTAAAGACAATGTTTGATTATGTCAAAACATAACAATCATCATGTTGAGAACTGTTGCTTTGAAGTGCTTTGAAGTGGATTAAAAATCCAGAAGCAAGTCATGTTGCTTTTGTTCATCTGGTTAAGGAAATTGCCAAGCGCTTGCTGGATTATAATGTGACTATTAGGCATATTCAGAGATGTTTTAATTGAGAAGCAGATAGTTTAGCTAAGTCGGGCATAGGGTAATGTGGGGTGTTATGGTTGGGTGTGGTGGTTGAGTGTTTTGTAGGGAAGGTTTGTACTTAAAATGGTTTTACCCTGGATGTACTCTATATTTTAGTAATAAAATTTTGGGTACTCTTTTCCTCCTTCCAATGTCCATTGAAATACCTATGTAGTTTGACGGTTATGAAGGGATTTTTAACGAGGCCCTTTTCTTATAAAAAATCATGTTGAGAACTGTAGTAACTTCAGGTGTAAAAATTTAATAACATGACTGTTTAAAATTAATATATAACTTTAATCCATGTATTAATCTCAAAACGAGTCAATCCAATATTTTTCTCAACAAATACATATGAATATGATTTGAATTTCATTTACATATTCATCTCATAAATATCTATCAAATTTCATACCAATCTTATTTTACTACTGTTCCCACAATAATAACCGATTAGGCATATTTAGAAAAAAGACAAAAGGATCACTTTTGTCCCTGTAGTAGACCCAATTTATCATTTTCGCCCCTATCGTATTTTCGCATCAATTTAGCCCTTGAAGTTGATCAATCGCATTATTCTATACCCTACCCTCACTTAAAACCCTAAATAGAGGGTTTTAAGTTAGAGATTAAGGTTTAAAGGTTATGGGGTTTTTTTTATAAGAATTGGAGGTCGTTAAAAACCCCCTTCATAATCATCAACATATTAAAACGTATGTCAACGAAAACTGAAAGGGGGAAAAGAGTACCTCATGATTTATTAAATAATATAACCATTACACCTTGTATGAAATAACACCCCAATAAGATACATATACCACATCTAAACCAAAAAATCTCTAAATCCCCCTTAAACATCCAAAAATTATAAGGTCAACCCTATCTGATACCCACTCACACTTATCCCAAACCTCACATCACTAAAAACAAAAAATATTCGAAAGCAGTACATAAATCCATTAATATGATAAAAACACAACTGACTCCTAACGGCGAACCATCTATATCTTGGAGAAGCAACACACTTCAATCAATTAAAACTCCTTCCAAAACCGCTAATAGGCTAAAACTCAATATTCGTCCGAGACAGTTAAGCCACTTCAGCCTTTTGCTTGCTACTTTTAGATTCGTGGGGTTTTATTTTCTTTCCGCACTTTGATCCCTTCCGAAGACCCTCTCCTTGCAACCGGTTAGAATC